TGGATGATCCTTCATGAAATCCCAAGCAGCCTGTTCAGCCAAAATTTTACTTCTGTGATAATTATGCAATTTCTCTTCAACTTTCGCCCAATCTTTTTCACTGAATACTTTCTCGAAATTCTTATGGCCCTCTGAAATATGAACGAATTCAAAATTGCAATTGAAAAATAATTAGTTGATTGACAATTAAACGTGTTTCAATTCTTTTTGCAAATGACAGAAGTAATCACATTCTAGCAATTAAAGTTCTTCTGAATGACATTAAAACTGAAAAAATACAATTGATAACTGCATGTTTACACTGGATATGATTGATGATAAGTTGACAGCGACTCAGCGCCTAATGAAAACATCAAGAATTAATAGCAACAAAAATTGACGGCAGTAATATCACACAAAATAGTCATCGTAATGCGAATAATAATCGAAGGGATAACGATTGACCTTATAGTACCTATAGCTCGAAAATAGTAGCTGTAGTAGTAGTTAAGCAATAAGCACTGATGGAATGAATGAAACGGAAGTAAAGAAAAACTCAAGATTGACAGTGGAGCATGAGCTGGTGACGACGATCTTCTTGACGCTATCGTTGTGATATTTGTAGATCGCATTCAGCACATTCAACGTTCCACTCACTGCAATATCGACCACAGAGCAATCTGTTATCGTATCGCACGGACTTGCAATATGCAGAACATAGTCGCAGCCTTTTATCGCACTGAAAATATTTGCCATTTTGCTGAATCCATCGCCAGTTATCATTGATCAGAATATACACTAAAATTTTTCAACAACAATGCGGGATGAAATATTTAAGAATATAACAGCACTAATAAAAGATAGACAAATAAAGTATTGAATTTATTAAAATCTTACTCGCACCAAGCGTGCTCATCAGTAAGATCAGCTCGTAGCAGCTGAAGATTTTGTGAATTATTCATAGTCAATAATGGATCAATTTTGTGTTTGTTATTCAGATCTCGGACAGTACCTCGCACATTGTATCCGTCATTCAGTAATAGTTGTACACAATTAATCGCCAGGTATCCTGTTGCTCCAGTTACGAGAACAGCTGAATTCAACAATAAAAACATTCTATGCAGTATTGCGCTATGAAGTAGATCGATAAATGTTATCGAATATTGTATCAATCCGATGCACTTTTCTTATGAATTTATAGAAATCTAAAGATGCAAATTCATGCGGAACAAATTTTTGCGATTCATCAAAATTGCTCAAAAGCACTCGTTTAAAAATGTGCTTGTTACAGCATTATGCTTGACTTGTTGTACTTTTTGTTTGAGTTGCTTTTTTTTGCAGCAGTTTCATTCATTGTTCACTGTTGGTCATTTTTAGATATATACGTGCATGGCGTTGCGAAGAAAAATCGTTGTCATTTATCAATTGGTAATCGAGATTAGATTTTTCTAAAGGTGAACGGTATTCGGCGATGGATTGCTGATAGAAACACCGTGAATACTAATATTCGGCGAACAGAGGAACGACAAACGAATCGTTAAGTGTGCGAAAAGATCAATGCCAACGAATGATATCATATTATTGCTGAGTTGTGAGCTATTGTCATTTCTGATTAACATTTGAATAATCATATTGCATGCTTTCATGTGAACTGAAGTCAATTGAAGTTTCAATGACTTTCAGGGCAAAGGACATTGTTGACAGAAACAACGTGAATACTGGTCAATTGATTGGGTTCACCAATGAGTAATGGCACTGAAATTGCACTGAATTGCGATGCAACTTCAATTATTAAACTAAGAATGTGATCAAATATAACGACCATAATAAGGACAAGTAATAAATAACCACTTTGAAGTAAACACAAGAAAGTATAGAATTTCTGGTTGAAACTCACTTTCACTTCCGTTTGATTGCCCTGCAGAACGTTCCATTTTAAGCAGATTTTTGAAGTCTTTTAATCAACTGCAAGAGAACTCTTCACATTTGCAACAATGAGAGTTTCATTAGAAAATGAAGATATCCTAAATCCGACAATATCGATAAATATATGTCAATTGCAAACGTTTATAAGGAACTGAATGGAATCATCATATTGAATGGAACATAAAAATATTGACTTTAACAATTCAACATCATGAGAACGGAAATACGAAGGTGTATAGAAGGTATGATAAATGGACGAATAGGATACATCAAGACGCAAACATTTTGATAATGACCGATTAAATCACGCTGAGCGATCCAATGAACCTTCAGCGATCAAAGAATTCCATTCACCAAACTGGTTTTGGCGTTTTTCAATGTATGTATACTTAATGAAATGCATATAAGATCATATATCTGCTCTATTTATGAATTGTAACATATAATATATCAAAAAATAATATTATGCATAAATCAATACATTAGACAGACAAACCGTATAATAAGAATTATATTGATGACAATATATGCACCATATAATTTAGATTGGACTTATGAGTAGCTCCACAGACTGGTTACTGATTACAGACTGATAAGAGACTAATTGCAAAGTTGGAATGATTTCATACCACATAATCATATTTCAGTTGCTATCGAATTGTCCTAACCTATAGTTTTTCCTTTTATCCGCCTTCTTTATCAGATATTCATGATCACACCGGACTTTATTTCAGTTATATTGCGCGTAATATCGCGTTCACTCCGAATACTCGTCAGGATGAGTGTTCCTCATTTCCGTGAACTTAGAATCTGCGGTCAAGGCTATTACTGACCTGATAATGCATGTCTGAGCTATATCAATGCTGTTCAAATGAATTTCTCTTAAAATGGTCTTCCCAAGTAAAAAATTTTCTGCACAAAAAATGATGTTGATGACAGATTATTTGTAAACAATTATTTGTAAACATAGTACTTACTATGTGGTTGTCATTTCATTTTTTTTGCATGAGCACCATGGATAAAGCAGACGAATTATGACTGCTGATGTGACAATAACCAGTTGTGACAGGAATTATGACAGAACGAGTTAGTCACAAAGATTTATCACCTTTATTCACCATATAGTTGATACGATTGGCTTTTGAGAGGGGGAGGGTGACCTATAATTGATGGAACGTAGAAAAAGCAACTTGGTCGTATGTACTAACATTCATTGAAACAGAATCAAAGAGTGATACGTCTGGAGTGATCAAGTCAACGGCTAAGATTGAATTCGAGAATTGATTTCGTTTTATTGGGTTTGCAATCTGACTCAATGCGTTGAATATGTGAGACTTTAGTGCATGAATCAGCAAAACCGGTTTTGCAGATATCAGCGAAACAATCATAAGCTTAGTGAAAATGAGCAATTGCAATTAGTCGTGATTCAACAAACAGAATGAAAGTCAAGTGGAGTTTGAAATTCAATAGCAATTCATCTTATGATTCATAATGAGAGCAATA